TGCTCTGGGGGATATGCAGCAATGTTTGCCCACATTTTTGGTAGTAACAGCTGGGTTGGTTAGCACAACAGGTGCTATTGGCATCAAATTGGTAGTGTCACAGATACTGCTAAATGTCTTACGGTGCACAGGACAGCCCCCCACTCAAAGAATTCTCCAGTCCATATGCCAAGAGTGCTGAAGCTGAGAAATCTTCTATAGGGCAATGGAAGAGAGGAACTCCTGTGGTATAAAACAAGGATGAGCTTCACAAACATAATGTTGAGTGAAGGAAGTCAGTTAGAAAAGACTACATGAAATTATATTAAGTACAGAAACAGGCAAAACTATTCTGGGGTGATAAAAGTCAGAATTGTGCTTAACCTTGGGTTGGCCACAATGAAGGAAACTTATGGGATATTAGTAATGTTCTCCTTTTTGATCTGGTGGGAGTTACAGGGATCTATATGTTGGAAGAATACAACTGAAATAAGTCTCATCTTGTGTGTGTGTGGGTGTGTGTGTGTGTGTGTATGTGTATTTTGTCTTTTTATTGATATCATTGTTTATCTCCTGACTCAGAAATATGACTTTAGACAGGTCTGCTGTTTTTATGACTGTAGACTCTGAAATCTATGGAATTGGAAACAACACGCTTACAGTTTGCAAGATAGAAACAAATATCTGATCTTCTCAAATGTACTTTCTTTACTCATTTTTTCTAAATCTGATGATGCTTAACTTTTACTGTTGCTGTTTAGGTCTATGGACATATTACATGGCAAGATGAATAGTAGCTGCTATTAAGATGTTTATTATTCTCATGCAGATGATCACATTGTGTACTTTTTCTTGGAGGACAGAGTATAGTTACTCTTTCTTTACACGACCTTTTGAAGTCAGTCGTATGAACTGCAGTAAACAGAATCGGGACTGTCTTCATTTGGCAAGGACTCTAATGGTTTCTGTTTTCTGAATTGAAAGGTGAATAGATACAAGCAAGGAAGGGTTTCAGTGTCTTTATTTTTTCCAAACAGTACTGTGGTTAACTCATCTACCACCATCTAAAGCAAACCGAGGGTACTAGCATTCCTAACACATCCCTGGTTCTTTAGCCACAGATGTACTAGTTTAACCACAGATGTACTAGATTAACTTGGTTTCTAAAAGAAATTGTTCTTCTCCAATTAGAACACCGATGACACTAAATGTGTAGGTTTTTCTGTACCAGCAACCACTTCTCCAACTCTTCATACACTGCCTGGATATCCTACAATTCAAATCAAATCAATTTGACACTGTGTACCTGGCGTTAGTATCAGAACCCACAGGGTAAAGGCCCAGTTCAGATGTGGTTTGAAGTAGTGGGGTTTGGAGTCAATGGCCAAGAAGGAATTCTTGAGATGTTTTTGGTGCAAAAAGGTGGTTTTATTAAAGCACTGGGATAGGACTCATGGGCAGAAAGAGCTACACTGGGGTCATGACAGGTGACAGATTATATATTTTTAAGTTGAGAGTTGGTCAGGAACAACTCTCCTCCAAGGTATTTTGGAAACAAGGTTTTCAGGACCTTGCAGGAGCTAACTCTTGCTAGGAAAAAGTCATTTATTACTGTTTAATAAGGCCTCTGTCATGAGACCCTTCAGATATATATCAGTGGGTAATATGTTTGGAGGTTGATTGCTAACATATATCTTGGGGGGTAGAGATAAAGGAAGTTTCCAAAGTAATCTTTATATGTTAAAGCAGACTTATAGGATCCTGGAGAATAAGGATAATATTAAGCTATTGCATTTTACCCTTGCATAGTGTTAGTGTGGAGGCAGCCGAGTTCCTAGAGAAATGTCACTGTCTGTTTCAAGGACTTGTCAATGGGCTGGAAGTAGTAAGGAAATGTAATTTTTCTTTTGCCTTTGTGTCCCACACCAAGTCCCATTTTATACATCAATGATGAGTCCAGGCCTGTGGTACTTCTGACCAACTTGACTACAATTTAAGGGTTCCCATACCCCTCCTTGGTTTTGATAATTTGCTAGAATGGTTTACATAACTCAGGGAAACATCTTTGTTTACTGGCTTGTCAAAATGGATACAAATAAAAAGCTCCAGAAGAAGAGCCACAGAGGACAAGGTATAAAGGAGTATGCATCTTCCATACCCTCTCAGGTCACGCTGCTATCCCAGGATCTCTCATGTGTTCACCAACCCAGAAGCTGCCCAGGGAGCTTAGGGTTTTTATGGGGCTTTATTACATAGATATGATTAGTAATTAAGTCAATCTACAACCTTTCACCTCTTGCTGTACCTTGGGGAGAGGTGCTGATAATTCTAACTTATAATCATATGTCTAGTTCCCCTGGTAACCAGCCTTCTTCTTCCTAGACTCACTCATTAGCATAAACTCCAGTGTCATTGAAAGAGGCTTATTATGAATAACAAAGAACACTCCTCTCATTCCAATCTCTCAGGAAATTCCAAAAGTTTTAGAAGTTTTAGAAGCTTTAGTGTCAGGAATCTGGGACAGTGAGTGACCTAATGTGTATTTCTTATATCACATCTCAGTTCCCAAGGTGAATACAATGATTTGTTTTCATTTGTGTTTTCTAAGACCTAGGATCACTGCAAATATCTGTGCAGTGAAGTATTTTTGGCTAACAGAAATTTGTATTATTGCATGCGAGTCCCTTCTTCTCCATAAAGATAGTTAAAGATGAGAATGCATAAGGTCATGTCACACTTATTACTCCATATCCATTTAAAACATTCCAAAGTAGTCCTTCATGTCTGTTTTGAAGACTAGAGAACTGTGGTACATCTCCTTTAAATGATGAGGCCATGACAAGCAATGATAAATAACAAAAAGGCACTGAAATAAAATACTTTATAAACTGACAACTGCAGGCTTCTTCACCGCAAACTAACATAAAAACCAAAGTAATGAAACAATTGTAATCTGGAATTTCATTGGTACCTTGATAAAATTTAATAATCAGCTGTGTCTCACAGTGTCCTAAATGCTGAGTTTCTGGAATTTATATGTAATCCTAATCATTCAATAATTTGTCATTGCTGTTTTAATTAAAGTTCAAGTCCGCTTCTTGTTGCATTAAATTATCCCTAGGAATAATAGCACTGTTGAAAAACCCTACAATATGAATATACTTGATTTTTTTAATGGACAAGCTGATTAAAACCCTTAATTGAAGCTCAGAATATCTGCAATTAATTGGAGATCCTTGAAGCCCTGGTCAAAACACTTCCTAAAGTCATACACAAAAAAATGTTACACATTTTTGCAACATGCTCAAGTCACTAGAGAGCAAATTTGGAAAGCGTCAAAATGAAAAAAGAATGTATCTATGTGGGAATTAAGAAAACAACTACAATTTCAAAACATCAAAAGTCTACATAGTTTTATCAGTTAAAAAGGAATATTTGTATAGAGAAAATCCCCTGATGGTGACTAATTCAAATACAGTGTTTGTAAATAAGCATAAAAATATATCAACAACAACTTTATAGATTTCTCCTCTTTTATATTAGATATTGGACATTTTTTCCTTTTCTTTGTTCCTTTATCAAACTTGATAGAATTTTGTTAATTTTCTTAGTTTTTCTCAGTAGCAAAATTCTGGTATGGCTTATCATCTCTATGGTACTTTTTTGTTGTTGTTGTTCATTTCTGCTCTTATGGCAGTTAAACTTCTTCCAGAAGATTTGATTTATTTTGTTTTAATTTTTAATTATATTTAATTAATTTTCTAAGATAGATGGACTGCTCAACCATATTTTAACTTTCATTTTTCCTAACATGTAGATTTGTAGGCTATAAATTTCTCTAAAAGGACTGCTTTAGCAGCACGCTAGGTTTTATATGTGACATTTTCATCACTGTTCAAAGTTTCTACTTTCAAACCTTTCTTTCTTCTCTTCTCTTTTCTTTTTCTTTCTTTCTTTTTTTTTTTTTTTAGATTTTATTTATTTATTTGAGAGAGTGAGAGAGCATGTGCATAAAAGCAGGGGGATGGTAGGCAGAGGGAGAGAGAGAAGCAGATGCCCCACTGAGCAGGGAGCCTGATGCAGGTCTTGATCCTCAAACCCTGGGATCATGACCTGAGCCAAAGGCAGATGCCTAATGGACTGAGCCAAGCAGGTGCCCTTACTTTCAAACATTTCTACCTCTTTTATCTATTTAGAAATAGATAATTTTTCAATTTTCAAATGCGAGGTTCTTCTAGTTGTTCTTCTAATATTAGTAATTCCCAGTTTATATGCATTGTTTTGCATGGTGTTGTATTTTCAGATTTCTTGAAACCTGCTATCTGAGTACAGGTAAATTCAATGTGAAAGTTCCAAGTATACTTTGAGGTAATGCTTATTGTACTTCTCTGGGTTTAGATCCCTACATTAATATAATAAGCCACATTGGTTAGTCATTTTTTCAAATATTTTCTAACTTTATTGATATGTTTGGTCTGCATTTTTTTCTGAGGTACTGAAAAATGTGTTAAAAATCTCTCATGCCCGTACTGTGGGCATTAAGGGGACACAAAATCCTGTAACAATAGGAGACTCGAACTGGAGACATAGTGAATCAGTCCTTTTCTTAGGAAGAACATTGTGGCAAGTCTCAATTAGTGCATCCTCACAGCCCTATTTTCTAGGAATTGCTGTTCTAACTCATTCTGCCCACTTTGTATTGGGATCTTCTTCTTCTTCCTTTTTTTTTTTTTTTAAAGATTTTATTTATTTATTTGACAGGCAGAGATCACAAGTAGGCAGAGAGGCAGGCAGAGAGAGAGGGGGAAGCAGGCTTCCCGCTGAGCAGAGAGCCTGATGCGAGGCTTGATCCCAGGACCCTGGGATCATGACCTGAGCCGAAGGCAGAGGCTTTAGCCCACTGAACCACCCAGGCGCCCTGTATTGGGATCTTAAAACTGATGTGATTTGATGTGGGATTCAGGAGCGAATGGTCAATAAAGAATTCTTAAGACATTTTTGGTGCAAAAAAAATTGGTTTTATTAAAGTATGGGGATAGGACCCATGGGCAGAAAGAGCTGTACTAGGAATGTGAGGAGTGATTGATTATATAATTTTAAGTTGGGAGGGGTAGAGACAAAGGAGGTTTCCAAAAGGATTTTAAATATGTTAAAGAAGACTTACTGTGGCAGGAATTCTCTGCCTTTAGTGACCACAATTCTTGGTCATGCCACTATGAAGAATGAAGAGGTAACCAGAGGAAGAATGGTGGACAGTGAAGCAAAGTTTATTGAGCAAGAGTACAAAGCTCCTGGAGAGGGAGGGGATCTGAGTTTCTAAGTTTGGGGGCTTTATGAGCGCATCTGCAGAACCCTCTTAAGCCATCAAGGTGTGCTGGTCGTGCCAATCAGGATTTTGGTCATGTATCTGGGCACCTATAGGTTAATGTGTTTGTGATGATGGTCTTTTTTTGGTTGACATCTGGGGGCTATGCTTTGTGGTTCATTGTTTTATTTTAGGATGTTTTGCAGAAGTCATTTCTGCAAAGGCTGCAAAAACAGAATGTCAGTACAGCCCTGTCTAAGCTACAAAACAGGATGCTAGTGCTGTTTTATTTTAGCTGTCCTGACTATTTTCATGTTGGGGATCTGGGTCCTGACTACATAACTGTAACTAACTCCTAACATTACAGGATCCTGGAGGCCTGACTATTGTCAAGCTAAGGCTGCGTTTTGCCACTAGCAAAGCATTGCATTAAGACCGTTAGGAGTTCCTGGAGGTCTCAAGTGTTTGTCAGTGGGCTGCAAGTTATAAGGAAATTTAATTTTATCCACATTTCCTTTTGCCTTTGTTCTCTGTATCAAAAACTGCACCCTTTGTTTTAACAAGACTCCTTTGAAGCATCTGCCCTAATGAGGATATAGAAAGTGGGAAACTTTATTCAATCAACATTTTCCAGTTATTGATCAAGTGCCGGACGTGGAAATGGGAGCTAAGATTACAATGGTAAAGATCAACTGGTCCTTGGTGGCGAGGCATCGTCAGAAAGACAGAGTAAATGGGTAATTTAAATTTTCAAAATCATGCTGCAGGTGCAATGAGAGTGCAAAGGAGAGCCACCCTACTCAGTATGGGGGTTCAGGAAATCCAAGACTTCAAGGAAAATCCAGTCTGCAAAATGAAGGTGAAGATCAGTAAGAGAGATTGTTTGAAGAAGTCCAAATACTGTACGCAGGTATCTAGAAAAAAGAGGTAACCTGTCAAGCTTGTGCAACTGGAAGTAGTTCATTATACCAATAGCATAGCGTGCAAATATTAGTCAGCTGAAAGGGAAGTCCCAAAAACACCAAAGATAACACTGAAGTCCCACTCTCTAACTAACACCTCAACCTGTAAATTGCAGCTGGAAAGTGAAAGATACCAGTTGGAATTTCAGAATCACATCATACTTTTTATCTTATTTTTCAAAGAATTGGAGGAAGTATAAGTCAACTCCATAATACAAACAGGATTAGAATATATGTGTTTTTTTTCCCAGTATCAGACCTCACCATCAGACCTCTCTTTTGAACTGACTGATGCTTTCCTAAGAATGCAAAATTCCCTGTTACCACCACCATCATCACCAGAACCATCACCTTGTTTTTTCCTTTCTTATCCTCCTGAACAAGAATTGCATACTCCTTATAAAATTTCCAAACATACAAAGTTTTATACAAAATAAAACAAGTATTCCTCTCACTCCTGATCTCAGAAACCTAGCTTCCCCTAGAAGGAACCAACATTGCCAGTTCATCATGTTCTATCAGAGATCATCTAAGTGTATACATACAAGTATATGTAAGTGCCAATTTTTGGCAAAAATAGTGCACTATTCCTATTGGTTTGCACCCTACTTTTCCCACATTACAGTATATCTAGTAAATTGTTCTGTGTCATTACAAATAGTGCTCTGTTTCTCAATTTTCTGGCTATATGATATTCCATTGTGTAAGGGTGCTAAAACTTATATTACCACTCCCATATAGATGGATGTATAAGTAGGTCCAGTCTTGAAAGTTACAATCAGGGCTGCAGTGGACATCTTATAAATACATATTTTTTCTGACTGTGTGTATGAGAGAGAGGGTGCATGTATGCCTTAAAAACTGAATCTGTGGGGGGTGCCTGGGTGGCTCAGTGGGTTAAGGCCTCTGCCTTCGGCTCAGGTCGTAATCCCAGGGTTCTGGGATCGAGCCCCATATCAGGCTCTCTGCTCAGCAAGGAGCCTGCTTCCTCCTCTTTCTCTGCCTGCCTCTCTGCCTACTTGTGATCTCTGCCTGTCAAATAAATAAATAAAATCTTAAAAAAAAAACCTGAATCTGTGGGGCCAAATGGACATCGGTTAAAACTTCAGAAGTTTTAGACACAGTTTGCAATATTAAACAATTTGGGCTCCCATGCAAGGACATGTTTTCTGAAACACTGGAAACACAGTTTGATAGCATATGAGGTGAGACACTACATCTCATAGTTTTAGTTTCATTCACTTATTTTGAGTTACTTGAACATCTTTTCTATAAGCTATCTACTCAGAGTTTGCCTATTTTTATTGACTGGTGGCTCTTAATGATATACAACTTATAAAATCAGCTCTTTCCTCTGATATAAATCAAGGCTGTCTTCAGAACATTTTTGGCTTCTAAATTTCTTTAGGTTCTTTTTCACCACAACAAATTTATTTTTTATGTAGTTTTGTCAGCACTTTTATGGCTTCAGGTTTTATGGCATTTAAAAATAAATTTGATGTTCCAAGACAATTTTATAAATTATTTGATATTTACTGATTTTATGCAGTTTTCTAATGTTCACTCTGAGGTCAAGCTGAAATTTACTTCATGCAAAATTTACAATAGTTCTAATCACGCTTTCATTCTGTACTGCTGTCCGGTTATTTGAAAACAGGCATTGTATATAGTTCATACTTTCCCACTAATTTGAAGTAATGCTTTTCACATGCACGTAATTCCTATATGTGGTGGGGTTCTATTTTTAGACTACACAATGTGTTCTACTGTTATGCCTTTATGCTCAGTTGACACACTGTGCTAATTACCACAGTTCTATAAATTTTATCATACCTCTTCTGAATTGCCTTGACTTTTTTACTATTTTTTTGATCAGCTCCATTTAAATTTTACAATTAGCCTTTCTAAAATTTTAATTCAGAACACACGCAATTTATAAGTGAACTGAGAGAGAACTGATCTGCCTATGGAACCAGCCTGTCCTACTCAAGAACACAGTATGGGTAGCCATTTGTGTAGTGATTCGTGTGCGACTTCAGAAGCATTTTTTGATAAATATAGTCTAATATGTTTCTTTTTCAGGATATTACAGATTTGACCTTCTCTTTGTCTTCAAATCTGTTATTTCCATGTCCATGGAATATGAGTGAATTAACTATCCAACCACATTGACTATATCTTTTGTTTGCTAAGCATTGATGCCCTGTAGTAGGTATTTTGTATTTTTCTATTAAAATTTTGCTAAAAAACAGAAAAGGTACATATATGTAAAAATAAGCCATATCAAAAAGCTGTTATGAAAACTTGTAAAAATTACCTGAAATTATCCACTAGAGAAAAACTTGGCAAGTAGTGAAGTCAACTCTTGTATCAGGTCACAAATTTTAGACCACCATGAGTGCTCTGACCTGTTTTCTTCCTTATCATTTGCCATTATCTCTGAAGTGCAGTAATTTTTATTGTTTTGCTTCTTTTCAGTCAGCACTTCAATTTGGGCCTAAAAAGCATGTGATTTAGTCATAAAAGGAAAGCACTCAAAAACTCCAAACTTTCAGGAATAATTATATTCCTGTCTTATATTAATAATTTACAAAATTATCTGCATTTTCCTTTTTAGTGTAGTCTCTCTTATTAGATCATTTACAACAGGGATATCTCCTGGTTTAGGGCTGAGAAATGAGAAGAAGCATAGTACAACCTTGTTTATAGTCATCCATCACTAGGGTTTTACAAGGTGCAAAACAGGCATAAGGACAATTGTTGTGAGATATTCTAGCTAAAATTATGCTGTTTAGGAGAGAGCCTTTGACCAGAATGTCACAAATGCTCACCCACATCTGAGAAATAATGTGACCTTCTAAACTGGTTTAGAAATCTGATACAAACACTTCCAGATAAGAGAAGAGAGAATAATTCCCTCTGTGCTGTGTGCTGACTTGGGCAGGCCATCCTCACCTGGAGACAGCCCTAGGTTAGGAGCTGTCGGTCCCCCCAAGTCTGTACATAGCTGATAGTTTTAGGTCAGCAAGGATCTATCTTAGTGTCACTGGGTGAGTAGGGTGCCTGAAAACCGGCAGTAATCTTGGGAAAGTGAACCAATTGCTGCTTCTATTACATACACCCAGTTAGGACATCTATGTGATAAACCTGGGGATTTAATTTTGCTCCATTTAATATTGCTCCATGAGCTCATCCAGGAATCCCCCAGAACAGCAGCATCTTCTGTAAATGCTTGGAGCTACCAAGTTCTTACTGGATTCTCTGGAAACTCAATGTGAACCCAATTCAAGTGCCTGGACACAAGCCATGACAAGTTCAGGGCGTGTAGTGAAGCAGATGCTGCTATAAATGACAGTGGTGCTTCTCTCTCTGACTTCTCTGTGACTTTCACCTCTCCCTTCCTGGGGCTTCTGGGCTTTGTTCTGCAGTCCCTGCCGGGTCCCAGGCCAGGCTTACCTCAAGCCTCTGAATCTTCTCATCCCGCTTTCTCAGAAGGTTTTCTGTCTCAATCATCATCTCTGCTTTCAGTTGGATTACGGATTTACTGAACATTATTTCTAGAAACTTTATCTTTTGCTGCATCTCTTTACACCTTTCCTCAAGAAGCTGCTTTTCCCTCTCTGCTGTCTCTTTTGGCCTGCTCCTCTGCTCCAGGAAGATTTTCAGAGAGGAAAGATGACAGAGGTTAAACCTGAGAGCTACAGCCCCCTGTCCCATAACACCCACTCTCTCAGACACCAAACTGTCTTTAAAGTGCAGAGGGGAATGTCCGAAATCGCCTGGTGACCACACCTGGAGGGCAGGTTGGAGAAGGTGGTGGGAAAGACCCTGACCGCCTGGCTTTTGAGCAACCACACCCTGCCTTGTTATTTTTAGAATTGAGGAGCGTGCATTCCACAGAAGGCGAGGAAACACCTTCCTTCAGGAAGATCTTCCTGTTGGGCAGTGCTCCAAAGGCACGCGGGAGCCTCCCTCCCCATCATGAGCTAAGCTCTCCCCATACCTGCTAAGGCTCTTTGTGTATCACGGAGAAGCTCATCTTTCTTCTTACAGCTTTCCTCTAGTTCTATCTTCATCTGTAGCAATTCCTGGGGACCACAAATGGCAAAGACATGTCAGGCAGGTCAAACCTGAACTTGCATTGAAATATTCTGAGAAAAAAACCAAGTAACATTCCTTATTTGCTTCTCCAACGAATAGAATGTTCTGAGATCCTGGTTATCTCACTAACCCCTCCAGCCTCCAGAAGAATGTGCAGTTTTATAAACACAGTCTTGGGTGCTTTCCTTCTCCTCCAAACTCAGATACCTTATCTGAAGCAAAGTCAGTAGACACTCCTTGACTGAATGCTGGCAGTTTTTGGTTTTCAGAATCCTGCTCTTTTTTTTCTGTTTGTGGCTTCTCTAGTAACCTCCCACCCCGGATAATGTGTACAAGTCTTTTGAAATTTATGTCACACTCCTCTTCCAGGAAGATTTCCTAGACCACCTAACCCATATAAAAGAAGCCATTGTATATTTACATTTGTTTACTTTTGTCAATAAATGCATGAAATTTATGGTATGTAAATTACTGTTTTTTTAACTTAAATTCAATTAGCCAACATATAGTACCTCATTAGTTTTTGATGTAGTGTTCAATGATTCGTTAGTTGCATATAACACTCATTGAATTACTGTTAAAAGAAACTTGAGTTACTATTATCTCAGAGAGAAATACTCCATTAAGACCATTGGTAAGTTTCTGAACTCCCTGAGCCTTCCTTGTGACATGTTGAGTCTGCATTATATAATCTCGATGCTTCCTTGCAGCTGTAATGTCCTGTGACCTACAAGCCATGGTTAACAGTAATACAACAGGAAGCAAAATAAAAATAAAGAATGATCTGGTAACAGAATCTTCTCAGAGAAACTTGGGTTGCTGTAAATGGGAGAGAGTACACAGAAAAAACAGCAAGCTCAAAATAACGTAAGCGTGTTCTAAGCACATAGGGAAACTGCCAATATTCAGTCAAGGAGGCCATCTGTGTATCTATACTGACTTTACTTTGGACCAAGTGTCTGAGTTTGGAGGAGAAGGAGATAAAATAGAGTAATAGTGTCCTTTATAACTCTCTCACTCAGAAGAATCAGAATCCTTCCACCATGAAGGCTAGCTAATTTATGGCTAGTCAGTTAGCTCATAGGTAGAGGGGGTAACATGGAGAATCAAGTATTAAGGCCAAGTACCAGTACTTGTTCTGTAGCTCGTTATCCTGGGAGGGCTGCAATGTGGGGGCTGCCTCCCCATCCAGGTGCGGGAGTGCCAGGACCATTTCTGTGGGAATCATCGAGTTCTCACACTAGGACAGGGGTATCACCACGTTGTCCAGACAAGGAACTGCTCCACTGTGGAAGGCATCCGTAAAGGTCACCGTCAGAATCCCCAACCCTGAATGAGGCAAGAAATTGAGGGGACCAATGAGATCCAAAATCAGAAACTATAATTCTAAAATGATTTTTTAAAGACCCTAATCAGATTGAAACTTTTCATCAGTCACTCTCATCCTACTAAATCAGTTTTCTTTCCAATCACTGCAGTTAAAAATGCTAAATATCTTCCTTCAGTTATCATGCTCTGGTATCTTTTGGATATCTTTGATATCTCCCCCAACGAAGCATATTAAGAACACTGAAAATCATACAACTCAATAACAACAACAAAAACAATTGATTAGAAAATCAGTAGAGGAACTAAACAGACATTTTCCCAAAGAGGACACACAATTAACAACAGTATATGCAAAGATATTTAACATCACTAATCATCAAGGAAATCAGGGATATCTTAAAACCACAATGGGAGATCACCTCATACCTGTTCAAATGGCTATTATCAAGAAGAGAAGAGATAATTATTAGCAAGGATGTGGAGATAAGAGAACCCTTGTATACGGTTGATAGGAATATACATTGTAAATTGGTCCAGCTACCATGGAAAACAGTATGGAGGCTGCATAAAATCAAAAATAGAACTACCATATAATCCAGCAATCCCACTTGGGGGTATTTATCCAAAAGAATTGGAATCAGGATCTCAAGGAGATATCTGCACTCTCGTGTTACTGCCACATAACTGTCAATAGGAAACAACCCAAGTGTCCATCAGTAGATGAATGGATAAAGAAGTTGTGTACATATATACAATGGAATATTGTTCAGGCATGAGAAATAAGGAAATGCTGCTTTTTGTGACAATATGTATGGACCTTGAGGGCATAATGTCAAGTGCGATAAGTCAAATACTATATGATATTACTTATATGTGGAATATAAAAAAGAAAACACTGGGGGCACCTGGGTGGCTCAGTTGGTTAAGCATCTGCCTTTGGTTTAGATCATGATCCCAGGGTCCTGGGATTGAGTCCCACATCTGGCTCTTTGCTCAGCGGGGAGACTGCTCCTTCCTCTGCCTGCCATTCTCTCTCTATCTCTCTCTCCCCCCTCTCCCTCTCTCCAACAAATAAATAAATAAAGTCTTTTTAAAAAAATGAACTCCATAAAAACAGTAGAATGGTGGTTATGGGGGGCTAGGAGTTGGGGAATTTGAAGGTTAGTGGTTTATAAGGGTATAAGCTTGCAACCAGTAAATAAATAAGGCTGGAGGTGCGTGGCATAATGATAAAGACAACAATGCCACATTATAAACTTCAAAATTGTTAAGAGACTAGATCTTATTAAGCTAGATCTTATTGTCAACACATACACACACATACACACAAATATGATAATTAAATGACATGATAGAGATGTTAGCTAAGGCTAAGGTGGTAATCATATTGTCATATGTAAATGTACCAAAGCAACATGTTTTACACCCTAAAACTTACATGGTGTTCTATCAATAAAAATAAAAATAGATAAGAGGTGAATAATTGAGGCAGGTAGATGAGATTATATTTATTCCTATTAAAATTCCACCTATTGGAGGCGTGGGTGGCTCAGCTGGTTAAGCATCTGACTCTTGGTTTTGGCTCAGGTCATGATTGCAGGGTTGTGGGATCAAGCCCTCATGTCAGGCTCTGCAGTGGGCATGGAGCCTGCTTAAGACTCTCTCCTTTCTTCTCCCTCTAACCCACCCCACTTGTGCATGCACCCTCTTTCTCTCAAAAAAAATTAAAAAAAAATAAAGTTCAACATACTTTAAGGAACCAATTGTTTGAAATTTTGCTTTCTCTGGTATATATATATATATATATATACATATATATATATATATATTAATTCAACTTACGAATACAGAAGAAGAAAAGCCTTGGGGAACCTTAAAAGGTAGGAGGCCTGGGAGAGCATGGGATTTCCGAGGCAATGAAGACAGAGTGAGCATCCAGAAGCAGGGAGAGGTTAGCTACATTAAATACCCAGAGAATTCCCCACGAGTATTAGTAGGATGGCCAGGGATGTCCTTACTGAGCACAGACTTACTAGAGTGATGGAAATAGGGGAGAGGAAGGAGCAGCCATGGGGGAATGAAGTGGATCCAAAGAAAGGAAAAAGAAGAATTTCTGGATCCCAAGATTGAGGTGTGAGTATTTAGTGGAGAAGAGTTATGGCCTCTGTTACTTATTCCCCCAAATAATAATCAGAATGAGAATATAAGTAGAAAAACTTCCATATCTGTTTAGAAAAAGAATGCAAATATCACAAAATATCACCACAGGTTAAATTTAAGTGAAAGGTATGTCAGATTTCTTAAGCTTCCTCTGTAATTCAGATTTGTTTTTAATATGTAGACTTTTTGAATATGTAGATTTTGGAGCAAGAATATGTAAACAACATTAAGTAGAAATCTCAAATATAAGTTTTTTTTTTTAAGATTTATTTATTTATTTATTTATTTGACAGACAGAGATCACAAGCAGGCAGAGAGGCAGGCAGAGGGAGAAGGAGGGAAGCAGGCTTTCTGCTGAGCAGAGCCCCGATGCGGGGCTCAATCCCAGGACCCTGGGATCATGACCTGGCCGAAGGCAGAGGCTTTAACCCACTGAGCCACCCAGGCGCCCCACAAATATAAGGTTTTATATCTTCTATATTTAGATCTATCAATTGCGTTCCTCTTCTCAGTTCCTATTTTTATCTCAGAAATTAAAGTTTTAAGCCCAAACCTAAAGTGCCTCTAAAAGAATGTTTAGAAATGAACATACCTGCATCTTAGCACTGCTGGTCTGTCCACGAATGAGCTTTCAGCTGTCTCTGAACTCACCCTTGTTCTGTTTCCTCCTCCCGCAGAAGCAGAGAACAGATTGAGAAAGTTGAGAAAGGAAAAGGAAGATGAAATGGAATCTGAAAGTAAAACTACTTTAACTATTGGTTACATATTGAGAGAAGGCATGCCGGAACTGAGTCACCAGAGCTTGAGGAAGTAGAGGAGGGAGGGAACTCAGAGAATATTAGTCACTCTGTACTTAGGCCTTACTAAATGTCACCCTAACTAGCTTTCTTTGTTTTGTCCCCAACTTATTTGTCCACAAATGGACTATTACCAGAGGCCAAAGGCATAAGTGAGTCTGGCTCCAGGATTCCTGAGCAGACCAGGTTCGGCCACTTGCCATTGACAAAACCCAAAAGCAGAGAGACCAGTGATGGTGCAACAAGAAAGAGATTTATTCCAGGGAAGCCAAGGGGAGGCAGAGGACTAGTGTCCAAAGTCTGTCTCCAAAGTCTAGAAAACTTCCAGGTTTGTATAAGGAAAATGTGGGACAGAGGTCAGTGGGTACATGCAGGTGGGCAGTCAAGGTCAGGTCATTGTCTTGGGGTCAATCACGCAGGGTCTTGCTGGTCTTAAGGGAACTTAATCAGTTAGAAAGTACAGACTGGTGTCCAAATGTAGGTAGTTTGGGTAACTCCCCAAACTGGGTCCTTTTTCAGGACTATGATGTAAGTAAAGTATACATTCTGTTGTACTTTTATGTCTTCGAATTCATGGAGCTTCTTGAATGAGTCGATTAATATTTTTCACAAATCATGCATGTTTCTGGTCATTTTTTCATATGTTTTATGTCATACTTCCTACCTTGAGTCAATAGATACATATCCTTTGTGGACACCTGGTTTCAGAAGACATTATTCCTGCATACGCAAGGCCTCATTCACATTCAGCTAGGTGAATGTAGGAAAGAGTGAAGCAAGGAAAGTAAGTAAACAGATCTGAGGACATGTTATGGAGCCACTCTGAGTCCCTGGGGTTCAGTCCTGCCAGGGTACTGTGAGTGGAATTCAAAGAGTATTAGAGAATGCCGCATTGCACAATGTGTCTGATGAAGGGAGAGCCATCAGTGTAACAGAGGTTGGTGATAAGGGACTTAAGCCACCTGCTTATATAACGTTGTTTTGTCCTGTAGCCACCCAAATAAACTTGAGATTTGGATGGTCTAACCATGTGTAGCTCATGATGAAAAGTTCTACTCTTGTAGTGATTTGATATATTGAAGTCAGGAGCTCAGTCTCAACAACAACCCCAAAGTAGTTTTTGCAAATAGCGAGTAACCTTCTGATGCATAAGCTTTGACCTTGTCCTGAGACAATAATAGCTCTGCTAAGACTGTTAGGATTGCAAGATACCTCTCCTTCCTCATGCTCCCTTTGTCACCACCATGTCTCCCCTGGCCACATCAAGGTAACCACTGTCCTGCTTTGGCCCTTGATATAGCTGGATCCCTAAAGTGTGTATTCTGTAATATCTGATGTCTTGTACTCAATACTATGCACGTGAGATTTATCCATATTTATTTATTTGGATTTATTATCCATATTATTTATACACATACTGTGTACAGCTATAGATTGTTTATGTTCTATGATGTATAGTAGTCAATAGTAAGGATATTCTAGAACTTGTTTATCCAATCATTTATTGACAGACTATTTAACAGTTTCTCAGTATTCTCATAACAGGCTGTTATGAAAAGGGCTGCTATAAACATTCTTGCATGCATCTTCTAGATCACATATCTGCACAGTCTCCTTGTGTCTATACCTATGAGTGGATTGTTGAAGGCATATGTTCTGCTCACAGATTTGACAGTGTCCAACAGTCTCATAGTTGTACGAATTTATGTTTGCACCAACACTGTAGAGCATTCCAGGTGCTGTTCAAGCTCATGAGACCTCAGTAAGGTCTGCCTCTGCTTCATCTGGTAGATGAGTAGTAGTGGTTTGCATTGTGGTTTTAATAACTCATGAAATGAGGTGTCTTTTCTTATGTTTTTAGCTTTTGGGATAGTCACTTTTGTTATTTTTTGTAACAAAAAACATTGCCTTTTAAAAATATTATGCATGTTTTCAATTGTTTGTGTTTCTATTTGATCTTTGTGTCACTGTGTGTGTCTTGTATTCTTGAATAGCTACTTAGAGTAGATATAATATTTGTATTTCACAACTGAAACACTTTAGGCAGTTTAGAATTCTTTGTTTTTTTTCTGGGACTGTTTTCTAGGTTTGGTAGCATAATTATCTCTAGCTCATCATCCAGGGAATATCTCAGTTTCAATCTTATGCAAGGAACTTGTGTGCAAGACACTCTTTTGACACACGAGACAAAATAACAAACATGAATCTGTCCGAGATTATGAAAGGACCTCCCTTCCCCTTCCTGAGACCACACTTTCAGAGCTCTCCTTCACAAACTAGGTTGTGATGGACTTATACTCTAGTAAGGACACCTATTATGCCAGAATCTCATTTATCACTCAAACATATCTCAAGGTGCATGCCCTCCCAAAAGGGAAGAAGATCAGGGACTGATTCTCACTGCATTAATGTAATACTTGTAATATTTGAGTGGTTTTCCAGGGCTATCTGAGACCATGCTCAATCACTTTGTTTCCTTATGGCATAATTTTTGCAGTTATTGTGGAGGTGATCTTTTACCTTTGGAGTGTAACACATCAGAGAAAGAGCTGGATATAGCTTCTCTTATAATTCCCTCTCCCAAATGCAAGACTATCCCAGAAGCAGGTATAAGTGTAATGGGCTTTACTGCATAGGGGTAGGGGATATCATTTTTTTATGATTTTGTCTTAATTCTACCTAGTTAACATACAGTGTTATATTCGTCTCAGGTATACACTATAGTGATTCAACACTTCTGTACATCACCAGTGCTCATCATGATAAGTACACTCCTTAATTCCTCTCACTTACTTAACCCAGCCTCCCACCTGCCTTCCCTTCTAGTAACCATCAGTTTGTTCTCTCTAGTCAAAAGTCTGTTTCTTGGTTTGTCTCTCCCTTTTTTCCCTTTGATTATTTGTTTTGTTTCCTAAATTCCACATATGAGCAAAATCATATGATATTTGTCTTTCCCTGACTGACTTATTTCGCTTAGCATAATATTCTCTAGTTCCATCCACATCATTGCAAATAGCAAGGTTTCATTCTTTTTGATAGCTGAATAATATTCCATTGTGTATATGTATACCACATCTTTTTTATCCATTCATCAATCAGTGGAAACTTGGGCTCCTTCTATATGTTGGCTATTGTAAATAATGCTGCAATAAGCATAGGAGTGCATGTATCCCTTTGGATTAGTGGTTTTGTATTTTGGGGGGTAAATATCAGTAGCTGGATCATAAGGTAGTTCTATTTTTAATTTTTTGAGGAATCTTCATACTGTTTTCCTGAGTGACTACACCAATTTGCATTCCCATCAACCAGAGGGTTCCTTTTTCTCCATATTCTGGCCAGCAACTGTTGTTTCTTGTGTGTTTTTAATTTTAGCCATTCTAATATCTCATTGTAGTATTTTTTACAAAGATTTATTTATTTTTTTAAATTTTTTCAGTGTTCCAAGATTCATTGTTTATGCACCACACCCAGTGCTCCATTCAGTACGTGCCCTCCTTAATACCCACCACCAGGCTCACCCAACCCCCCACCTCCCTGCCCTCCAAAACCCTCAGTTTGTTTCTCCGAGTCCACAGTCTCTCATGCTTCGTGCCACCCCCTCCAATTTTTCCCAACTCATTTCTCCTCTCCATCTCCCAATGTCCTCTTTGTTATTCCTTATGCTCCACAAGTAAGTGAAACCATATGATAATTGACTCTCTCTGCTTGACGTATTTCACTCAGTATAATCTCCTCCAGACCTGTCCATGTTGATACAAAAGTTGGGTATTCATCCTTTCTGATGGAGGTATAATATTCCATTGTATATATGGACCATATCTTTTTTATCCATTCGTCTGTTGAAGGGCATCTTGGCTCTTTCCAGAGTTTTATTTATTTATTTATTTATTTGAGAGAGAGAGCACGAGCAGGGGGAGGGGCAGAGGGAGAGGGAGCAAGAGAGTCCTCAAGCAGACTCCCCTGCGAGTGCAGAGACTAGTGGGGGCTCCATCCCAAGACTCCAAGATCATGACCTAAGCCAAAATCAAGAGTTGGAGGCTTAACCAACTGAGCCACCCAGGCTCCCCTCTCATTGTAGTTTTGATTTTTATTTTCCTGATGGTCAGTGATGATGAACATTTTTTCATGTGTCTGTTGTCCATCAGAATGTCTTCTTTGGAGAAATGTTCTGTTCACGTCTTTTTAAATTGGATTAGTTTTATTTATTTTTTTTTTGGATGTTGAGTTTTATAAGTTCTTTATATATTTTGGGGCAATGGTGTTAGCAAAATTTGCATTGGGTGTCTAGTCCAGTGCTGGATTCCCAGAAGCACTGCCTTGGCTGGGGACTGCCTGCCAGGGTCCCAGGAGGAGGTTGGGTGCAGCACACAACCATGGCTGCCCACCCCCCAGCTGGGGGTGGTGTGGCAGCTGTACAAGTTTGGACATAGTCTGCAACAGTGGATGGAGTACATGGTTGGGCACTGTAGGTGGGGGCAGCTGAGCATGCAGCAGCTGGGCAGGGATGCCGCTTTAACAGAATTTGCCCTGAGCGCTGGGTGGAGGCTCAAGGTGTTGATGCAGCCCTGCCTCTGGCAAATGGCTGTGTTTAAGCTGGAAGACAGGGGAGGAAAATGGCATCTGCGGGCTCCCTCATTTTCTGAGAAGTCCCCCAACACGTTCTAAAATTAGAACAGATCTGTTTCCCCTTTGCGGTAGGGTTGTGTAAATTGCTGATCTTAGGTTGCTTCCCTGCACAGGCCACTGTTTCTTTTAGGGCCGCAGCAACCTGGTTATTAGTTCCCCCTCCAGACTCCTTCCGAGCTGAGTTAGCTGACTTTTAAAACTCCAGGCTCCAGGCCCACTGGTTTTACAAACTCACGGAATTTAGCCCCTCTAGTTTTTAAAGCAATAC